ACTGTCCCTCACCCGCCCCGCCCCTCAGGATTGTGGAGGTGGAGCAGGACAACAAGATGACCCCGGGGAACCTGGGCATCGTCTTTGGGCCCACGCTGCTGCGGCCTCGACCCACCGAGGCCACCGTGTCCCTGTCGTCGCTGGTGGACTACCCCCATCAGGCCCGTGTCGTGGAGACCCTCATCACCCACTATGGCCTGGTCTTTGAGGAGGAGCCCGAGGAGGTGGCCGGGGCCCAGGTGAGGCAGCCGTGGGCCCCAGGGCTGTCCCCTCCACAGGCCGAAGGGATCAGGCGCATTGGCCAGGGAGTGGGGGGCACGGACGCGGGGGACTGGGAGGTGTCTGGTTTCCCCTGGGGGCTCAGGGGCCCTCTGAGAGGTCTTCTGAGCAAGAACGAAGTGGGGCCCAAATCTGGAGGTACCCCAACTCGGTGCAGAGGCTGTGGCCGGCTTCCTGCCCAAGCCGCCCACAGCTTACCTCGCACTGGCTCAGCACCTCTCGGCTTGGCCCGCCCCGCCCCGTGACCCGGCCACTGGGCTTGGAAGTCGAGCCAGTGGCTTCCTGCAGGTGGTTCGTCGTGTCCCGGCTGCCCCGCTCCAGCACTCGCGTCCCTGTGCCATCTCCCCGTGGCTCAGGTGCGGGCAGCAGGTCCCTGGAGGCAGCACCAGAGTTCCCGGTCTGGGACTCTGCAGCCTTAGGACTCTGCCCCTGTCCCCACCGGATGAGACGGGCCCTTCGTGACATAGGATCGGGATCTTTGTCCTCGATGGGTGGTGACAACTGTTGGGGTCGTTTACCGTGGCTAATTTACAAGACAGAAAAGGGAGCTTGGACAGGCCAGGTTCTAGGTCCCCCCTGACCTCTCTGCCACCCCCGCAGGATGGGACGGCCACCCAGCGGGCCGAGGTGCTGCTCCAGGTGCCGTACTCAGCGACCAGTGAAGGGGCTGCCTTCCCTCTGCAGGAGGAAGCTGAGGACGGGGGGCCAGGTGATGGCGCAGCCTGGGGGGTGGGGGCGGGGGTCTTCTGTCACTCTCTCTTCCTTTTTTCCTCTTCCTCTTCTCTGTCTGTGTCCCCATTTCCCCGTGTTCCCACATCTCTCACTGTCTGTCCCCATGTCTCCCACACAGACACAGCGGACCCCCGCGTCGCCTCCAATGACTCTGACTCAGAGCTGGAAGAGGGCTCGGCTCTGCAGTCCCCAGCAGACGGGGACGCCCGGCACCGGCTCAGCCTCCTGGAGCACCAGGGTAGCGAGGCCAGCGTAGAGGAAGTCGAGGACAGTGGCGACGAGGAGCAGCTGGGGGCCTCGGCGGGGGAGGACGGTGCGTGGGAGGGGCTGTCTCAGTACAACAGCAACCACAGCAACAATGTGGCCGCGGGCCGGCGGCCAGCCCTGCGGCCCCGCGGTGGGCAGGTCCCTGGCTGGGACCGGCGGCCAGAGTTTGTCTAGCTGGGGCTGTGGGCGGCCTGTGCCCAGCCAAGTGCCCCCAGTGCTGGCTCCTGTCCCTGGGCCTAGCTACATCATGCCAGGTGTCTGTGCAGAGCACCTGGCTGCCACGTCCACTTCGGGGGCCGCCTCTGGCCGCCTTTGCCACCAGCATCCCAGAGCATGGGCACGGCTGGCGACCAGGCTCACAGGAGCTGCCGTGGGGCCGTGTGGACAGGGGACCCCCTAAGTGCCCCCTGCCCGTGGAAGGCCCCTTGGACAGCCGGCCGGGCGGCAGGGCCAGGTTTGGACACCTATGGGCTAGGTGCACGGTGGGGTCCCCTTGGCACGTGCCTCTATTCTGCTTAAAATAAAGCTGTTCCTCTGAGCTCGTCTGTGCTGGTGCAGCAGCCTGGGGACACGGAGGGGGACGCGGGGGAATTCCATCCTAGACGGCGCACTGGGGCGCGTGATCAAGGCCCGCGGGGTGGGTGGTGGGCAACGCAGATGCCCAGTAACCACTCCACAAAAGCTCAGCACCATCCAGCAGAACCTTCCAGAGGACAGAGCCGCGTCTGGCTGCTGCCTGGGCCGCAGCAACCAGCGTGCCAGAGGACCAAACTTACGTGTCAGAGTTTGCTCAGAGGGAAGAGCCTCAGGAGGCCAGCCAGGGGACCCTGGGACAGCCCCGTGGGCCAGGTGAGGCCCCCCCAGCTCAGGATTCCACGGTAGGCCCAATGGAGGAAATCCCGGAGACAGAAGCCCCGACTCCGGGTTGGTGAGAACTGGGTGGAACCCACACCCGGCGACGACAGAGGCCTCCCCTCCCACCACCGCGGGGCCAGGCACCACGGCTGCCCCAGCCTCAGACAAGGGGCAGCCGTGACAAGCGGTCAGGGTGCTCTGTGACAGCTGGCCTCGCCCTGCAGAAGCTTTCTAAGAAAGCCGGAAAAGGAGCCACCTGCCAGCTGACTGCAGCCTGGCACGGGACGGGCTGCCACGCGGCCGCCCGCCACTCCTGCCCTGCAGAGCCGCGCACTGCGCACCGTGATGCCGCGGTCGCCGTCCGGCCCTTTGCTCAGAAGCCCGAAGCTGGAGCAGGCTTCCTGGAGGCCCGGAGACGGCACAGGAAACCTGAACAGCCTGGAGTTCGGGGAGACAGCAGCTCCCCCGACCCGCCAGCCACACAGCAGAGCCCTGGAAAGCACCCTGGGGTGGGGCGGGGTGGACGCGGCCCCTCTCGTCAGAGTCCCCTTCACAGGGCGGCCAGTCCCCGGGAGGGTGTCCGGGCCATGGCCCACCCGGAGCCCGCCTCGGGGACTTGGCCGTGCTTGGTGGCATAGGCTGGATCCGGTGCCCAAGGACAAAGGGGAGCCAAGTGCTGCTGGCATGAGGGCGCGGGGCCACAGCAAACGCCCCGACGGCTGACAGTGGCGGCCACACCCTCCGCTGCCAGACACAGCCACAGGGACACAGCAGGTACCAGCTTCGGACCGTGAACCCAGCACAGCCAGGGGCTTTCCCGGGGCCCGTGCGTGAGTCCACGCAGAGCGCACGCTCAGAAACAGCCAGACGGTTCGCGTGTGTGCTCAAACACGTCAACGGTCACCGTTTTAGCCATGCTGAGTGCACAGCTCAGTGGCCTTAAGCACACTCACATGCCGTGCAGCTGTCCCCACCGTCCGCCTCCAGAGCTTTCTCATCGTCCCACACTGACGTTCTGTCCCCATTACACGCTCACTCCCCTCTCCAGCCCCTGGCTCCATTATCCACTCTCTGAGTCTGACGCCTCTGAGGACCTCCCGGGGGTGGGGTCCCTCGGCCTTTTGTGTCTTACTGGGGCCAAGGTGGCTTTGGAAAATAAATGTATACTTGGGGGAGAGGAGGAGACATGTTTTGCCACTGAACGCGCTGTGAGACGCTACATTTTAAACCCCGAATGGACCAACAGAAGAGGAAAGAGCCCTGACAGCCCCATCGGTCAGCGCCGCTGTCAACGCGACACCCCTGGGTCACATGGTGCCCAGAGGCAGATCCCAGGATTTGAGGCCCGCGTGCAAGCACCACACCTAAAAACGGTATTTAAGAAATACGAAAAAATGGGGATAACTTCTGCAAATTGTGTACCCGATAAGGGACCTGTATCTAAAATATAAAGAACTCTTACAACTCGGTTATAAAAAGACAAACAACCCAATTCAACAAAGGGCAAAGGACGTGAATATACATTTCTCCAAAGATAACATGCAGGCGGCAGTGAGCACCCACAAGCACGTGAAAGACGCTGACAACAGCCACAGGGAAATGACTCATAACCACAGGGACAGGCCACCTCACTCGCCCACGGGGGCTGGGCGGCACTAAGGTCTTGCAGTGTGGAGGAACTGGGGTCTGTGCAGGGCTCATGGGAATGCAAAACGGGACAGCCACTTCGTAAAACAATCTGGCCGTTTCTCAAAGGGGTAACCAGTTCACGCCAACTGTAACTGAAAAATAAAAAATTATTAATAAAACGAGGGCGACCTGCTTCTGCACGACCCAGCAATTACTTCGCAGGCGCACAGCCAGGGGCTGACACACGTCCACGCAAAACCTGCACACGATGCTCACAGCGGCGCACGCGCAATGGCCGGGTGTCCAGCAGCTGGTGGTGGACACCACGCCGCGCCTGTCCACACGGGGGAGTGTCACTCAGCTATGAAAAGCAGAGAAGCGCTCACACCACGATGTGGACTGTGAACACACGACACTCAGTGAGAGACGCCGGACACACAAGGCCCCACAAGGCCCCACAGTGTGCGATTCCATTCATGTGACCCGTCCAGAACAGCCACATCCATGGGGACAGGAAGTGGGTCAGTGGTCAGGGGCTGGGGAGGGGGTTGGGGGTGACGGTGGATGGGGATGGGGCTTCTTTACTTTTTCCATTTTAAAACATCTTATTAACTTCTGCAATTCTGTAATAAATTCGCCGAGGGTGCACACATGGGAATACCCCTGGCCAATAAAGCAAGCCGGGCACCCGAGTCCTCCCAGCGAGGGGGCGGTGTCAGGTCAGGCTAACGGTTTCCCGGCTGCCTACAGAAGTGAGAGCTAACAGATCCAGGCGTGGCCATGAAACACAAGGCCACCATAAACCAACGGATTCCAGACATAAACATTTAAAAACATAAGAGCAAAATAAAAATGGATAGTGTTGACGAAAACACTCGAACAAAATGAAGAGAACAACGAAATGAAGAAAACACTAGCGTTTGGGTAACAGATTCTAAATGAGATCTCAATTTGGATTGAAATTTAGGCGAGCAACACAATCAAGTGAACAGAGAAATACCCTGACACGCGTCGCAACCGCTTAATTCCACAGTCTGGAGAAAAAAATGGCAAAGACTACACCCAAGTGAAGGCCGTGTCCGCGACCACTCACGCCCGTGTCAGAAGGGCCCAGCCGAAGCCCAGAGAGCACCGGAGCCCTCAGCTAACCGCCACCGTCGAGCAGCGACCCCGGGAACGCTCGGCTAACACTGGGGAAGCGTACGGGGAGGTGCGCGTCCCAAGCAAGCGGAATATTCATGTTCTCAAAGCACGAAAAACGTAATCTGAGCCCCGTGTAGCAAAGCCGTTCTCAAGATCGACGGGTAAACTCCTAACGAAGAGAATGCTGGGTTTACGCGACAACGTCTAATCGTGGTAATGGTTACAAAAATCACCATCGAGACCGTCTCTTCTTGTCCAAAAAGTCCACACGTGAAACATGATGACTTGTAACGTCACGACCAAAGGCTTATCTCCGTTTCTGCTTTGCCGGCATACTTATTTTAATTTAAAAGGCCTGGTTTTCCGGCCACTAGGGAAGAAACATTCTCAACTTGTTTCATGCCTTTCAGAAACCACCAGTCAGCCTAGGGTGCAGCTGGTGCTGTCACAGTGGGAGGGAGTGAACGGCTGACTGGGGGTGTGGATGTGCCCCCCCCCGGGCCTGCCCCCAGCAACGGTAACCCCGGTGACGCAGTTCTGGCATGAGGCGTGGGCACCACAGTGTGGGCCTGCCCCCAGCAACGGTAACCCCGGCGACGCAGTTCTGGCATGAGGCGTGGGCACCACAGTGGCCCCCCGTGGTCCTCCGCTCGAGACCCGGGCGGCATTCTGATAAGAGGGCGAGGGACCCGTGCAGTCTGGCTTGGGGAGAGCGCGAGCCAGGTGGCCAAGCATGACGGTGGTCTAAGTGACTGTCCACCAGCCAGCACACTAAGGAACCCCCCAACCACCAGCCCTGGTGCCCGGGCTTCTGCTGCGCAGAGGGCTTTCAGGAGTCACAAGGAGAGCCTTTTTCTAGATCTCTGTCCTAAACTTGCATTTTTTCCTTAGGTTTTTCTCCCAGTGTTTAGAAATCTTTGGTAAGGTCTCTGTGGCATGTGAGTCCGCAGACACATGTGCTAAGGGACGGAGCTCAGAAACTGGTGTGGGGGTCACATCGTGGCCCTCATCCTCAGCACCCACTGAACACGTGAACACCGAGCACCGTCCCCACAAAACACTGGCAGGAAGGAGCAAACTCTTGCTCTCCTGGGAAAATAGAAAAAAATTGTGAGACACTCAGGCGCCTGGAGGACACACTGGGAAACGGGGGACATGCAGTTCAGAGCGGTCACGGATGCCCCAGGTGCCCCTGAGCAAGGTCCTGTGGATGCAGGGACAGCACGGGCCCGGGGCCCGGCCACGCGCGGCCTTCACGCATCCCAGCCGCGTCTGCTGCTCACCGTGCACATGAGGACGCACCCCCTTTCCGTGTGCGTGGTACACGGCACAGTCGTAGTTAGTGCCAGCACCTCGCTATCCCCCGTGAGAACGAAGCCACCGCCGCCAGCAGGACAGGGAAGACCGTGTCCCCAGGAACGAATGCAGCACACACTCGGTTCCACAGGCCGCGGTCACGAGAGACGCAAGGACACGGGAGTCCAGCGAGTCAAGGGAGAAATGGGCGGGCCGCCCCTGCCGTAGCGGGGACAATGAAGGGCAAGCCGCACGGTGCCCTGGGTAGGTGACAGGGGCGGGATGCCTTCTGGGGTGATGAACTGTTCAGAGTTGGGGGGCTGACAGGTGCACTGCGGGGAACGCACTGGCCAACAGTGGTGCCCGGGAGGGGAGCACGTCGCAGCAGCGGGCCGTTCTTGCACCCTGGGGAGAACTCTCCTAGAACCAGACACCGAAGGACGCTCCTCCCGCCCTTCACGCGAGGCGAGGGCACACGGGACAGCCGGGCGTGGCTGCCACAGGTGGGGAGCAGGAACGGGAGCACTTTGGGCCACGGAGGCCCTGGCTCAGGCCCCAGCACCCGGTTCTCCCGCCTCAGTTTCCAGACACGTGAACCCGTTTACTCGAACGTCTTTAATTTAACAACACCATTTTCAACAACTCAAAATTCAAACACGTTTTAATCTCACTGCCTGCTGCCCTCAGAGGGGTCACAGGAGGTCGGGGATGGGGCCACTGCGAGGGCGGCACGGCGCAGAAAAGCTGGGAGGAAGGGGGGCTGGCCAGAGACTCTGACCCAGGCCCACCTGCAGGGAGCCAGCTCAGAATGCCCAGGGCGGGCGGGCAAGCGCCCAGGGCTGTCTTGGTTGCTGGCGGCCCTGCCGGCCTCCCTCGGTGTCCTGACCTCTCCTGGGGAACCATCACGCGGGAGCTCAGGTGGGGCTCAGTGTCCAGGTGAGGCCACGAGGGCCCTCAGCCCGGGAAAGACCGAGGGGTGGCAGCCGCCTCGGGGCCCAGGAGCACAGGGAGGGCCCTGGGGCTGAGTGGACGCCCTTGGGCAGGCCGCCAGCATGCCCACTGCCTGGTACGGTGGTCTCAGTCCCTCTGTCCGTCTCCCGGGGCTGGGAGAGAAAGGAGAGGACCATCAGGTGGTAAGCCTGTCACTCGGGCTGGGCGGCAGCGGAGGGCTGTGGGGGAACTGGGGAGGCGAGGGTGGGGCGCAGAGGGAAGCCGGGAGGGAAACCAGTGCACCCACCCCTCGCCTGGCCCCCAGCCAGGGCATCCGTCTCACCTGTGGGCGCTACTGCACCAGGCGGTAGGTGATGTACCTGCCCGCGGTCTCGCTGGGCCGGATGATCTTCACCACCTGCGGCAGCGAGAGTGGCGCTGAGCGGGGCCTCTCCACAGACCCGAGTCACGGGGGGTGGCCCCAGGACCCCCACCCTGGACGAGGGGCGGGCTCCCCGAGGCCTGGGGGCGACGTGCTCCCTGCCCAGCAGGCCTGGCTCCAGAAGCGGCATCGCCAGGACCTGCTCAGCAGAAAGGGCTGGGGGCGGGGCCTCTCACCTGCCCGCGCTTTATCCCGAAGTAGCGGGCCACGGGGTCGCCCGCCTGGATCCGCGGCAGCTGGTTCTCTCGGAGTTTACTGGGAAGCTCGCTCAGGAAAAAGCCATGACTGGGGGACGGGGGCTGGGACGGAGAAGCCGAGGGACGCAGAGGGGCCCGACCAGAAAGGATACTATCGGGCCAGCAGCTCGGTCACCTCCTCCTTGGTCATGACGACGTGCTCTGGCACCAGCTGCCAAGAGAACCCAGGTCTCCAGGAGGCTGCGACCGACCCCCACACGCGGGAGCGATGCTGTGCGTGCCTTGGAGTCTGCACCCCTCCCCCTGTCACGCAAAGGGGCCTTGGTGCACAATCCGAGAACCCCTGGGGTCAAGGTCCAACACAAAACCCCCAGCACGGCGCAGCAGGCCTGGGAAGCTGCATTCTCAGCAAGGCCCCAGGCAGTGCCATTCCGGACCCCGGCCCGCTCTGCGGCCCTGCTCTCCGGCCTTCGCCAAAGACCCCCCTCAGCGGCCCCCACTGGGCTCCGGTCCCCCCTTCCCCAAGGGCCCACCTCATGCTCCGTGATGTTGATGAGCAGCTCCTGCTGCAGAAACTGCTCCAGGATGTACTTGGGGGCCATGTCGATCAGGGACTGAAAAAAAGGGACCTCAGGCTCGGGCACGACCTCCACTGGGCCACGCCCCTGGCCTCTGGAGATGCTGGGTTGGCCCTGGAGCCTCGTTAGCAGGAATTCCCACCCCTCTCCTCCTGGGGAGGGGCCCGCAGCCCCACTCTCTGCACATCTCTAGGATGTGTCCTGTGTCAGAAGTGACAGTTTCCATCAGCCAAAGGTGCCCAGGGGTTGTCCTGGAGCTGGCCTGGCGGCTCCTCCCCAATGGAGTCTCAGGAGGACAAGGACTCTGCAGCCCCCAGGGGCACAGGAGCGAGGGTGCCTATGGTTCCTCCATCCCAACCACCAGCCCGCGCCCGGGCTGGGACAGGCACAGACCAAGACAACAGCTCGCTCGGACCACACGCTCCTGTGCGAGGACGCCAGGACCATAACTGGCAGGCGGGGGGCGCCCGGGGGTAAACACCCGCGGGCCTCTCAGGAGGGAGCGGAAGTGACGGGGCTCGGGCGGGCGGGCACCTGCTTGGCGGAGGGTGTCATGCCCTGCTGCACTACGATGAGGGCGCGCGTGATGTTCTCCTCCTGCATGCGCTGGCAGTACACCTTGATGGTCTTGATCCCCACCTTCGGCTCCTCTGTGGACAGAGCACGCTGCTGCACACTGCTGCACGCTGCCCGGCCCCGCGCCCCCGCCCCCCGGATCCCCGGCCACACAGTGGGCACTGCCTGCCTCCAGCTCAGCTCGGAGGCCTGGGAGCCCACAAAGAGCACAGCTGGGTGTTTGGAGGTGAGGTGCAGCCGCTGGCCTGCCATGGAGACAGGCTGCCCATCCCAGGGGTAGCGGTTCTTGGCTTTGTCACTTGAGAACCACTGGACCCTATGAGCCTAACAAATCAGTGACTGGGCTGTAGCCACCAGGACCCGTGTGTCTCCACGAACGGACAGTGTCTTGGACCAAGTTGTGTCCCCCAAACCCTCATGTGGGAGCTCTGGCTCCCAGGACCTCAGAAAGGGGCTATGTTTGGAAACAGGGTCTTCAAAGAGATGATTAAAGTAACCGGACGCCACGTGTTGGCCCTGATCCAACATAATTGCTGTCCTCCTAAGGGGGACAACCATGTGAGGACAGGGGAGGAGACGGTGTCTACGGGCCAAGAGGCCTCATTGGGAACTGACCCAGCGAACACCTTGATCTCGGACTCCCAGGCCCAGTAAAAGTGACAATAAACATCTGTTGTTTAATCAGGCACCAAGGTCTCCAATTAACAATGGCTCACACACTGGGACGTGTCTTAAAAAGCGTCACCAGGTTCTGCTCTGCAAACATTTTCTGCCCGTGCCCTTAATGCTAGGCATGGAGTTGGCCCCAAGGTGCTGGACACAGCCTGGCTCCTAAGCTTTGCAGGCCTGAGAGCGAGGCGGCCTCATCAGGTATGCGCTAAGGCCGGGACATGGGGAGCCCAAGACACCCTTCCATCTGGGGCTCAGTGGGGACCCGGGAAGAGGAGGCACCTGAGTTCAGTCTCCAGGGACAATGATGGACACTGAGCAGCAGCGCAGGAAGGAGCTGCGGGGAATGCAGGCCCGGAGCCCAGGGGGAGGGGTGGGTCTGAGCTCCGGGAAGGCCTGTGATAACCCTGCCCAGAGAAAATGGGGAAAGGATGGGGAAGAAGGAAACTGGAACAGGCACTTAGGGGGTCGTAAGTCAGGCTCCCTCCCCGGGCCGGGCACAAGGAAAAGGCCTCCACAGACTCAGGGTCACACAGCAGGGGTGGCTATGAGCTGCACTCTGAGCAGGCCCTCAGATGGCTCCACCAGAACCGTGCCTCGTGGGGACCCGCAAGGCCCTTACCGGGGAAGAAGACAAACATCTGGTCTGTGGGGTCGTCGTTGTGGGCCACCAGCACCGTGAGGTCAGTGCGCCGTGGCCGCCCTTCACTCGGCTTGTCCCCGAACTGGGCCTTGAACTCCTCCAGCGTCTGGTCCAGTTCATCCTGGGTCACCAGGTAGCCACGGTCGTGGCACAGCTGCGGACAGAAAGAGCCAGGTGAGAGCTTGGGCCCGACGAGGTGGCTGTGAGGACAACACATGGAGTTTGGGGCCCAGTGTGGCAGGTGTAGGTAGAGGCCAGAGAAGGAGGACGGGGCTAGAAGAGGACGAAGATGGGGCGCACCCCAAGTCGGCCCTGCGCCATTCCAGTTAACGAGCTGCCGTGCGTGTCATTTTATCCGGAGCCTTGGGGACAGGCTGTGATTGGGATGCAGCAGGGCTGGGACTTGAGAGGTGAGGCCATTTGAGCCCAGAGCCGAGCCATCGGGTCTGGGTCAGATGGAGACAGCTGGTGGGAGGGAAGGTGCGGGGCTGGCCGACAGACTTCGGCTGGGAATCCAGGCGACAGCCTGAGGGCCGGCATCTTGCCTCAGAAAGCGGGACTCTGTGAGTGGTTTGGTAGAAGGCCCAAACGGACAGAGGGGTGGTCAGAGCACAGCCCTGCCCTCGCCCTTTCCTCCGTGGGGTCCCTGCAGCCTGTCTTCCTTGAGACCCCCAATGCTGTCAGGCTAAAGCATATGTGTCGCAGTCCCTGTCTTCGGGGTGGCTTTGCTAAGCGGTGGAGAGGCTGGGTGTGGCACCCGAGCATTATCTCAGCAGGATTCCTGCCAGCCTGGTGGTCTTGGTCAAGGACCCATGCCTCTGTGGGCCTCTGGCGATCCCAATGGCTCCCTTCCATGGGGTGGCTTAAAGAACGTGGAATATACTGACTGCAGCCACTGCAAGTTGATGGCCGAGACACTGAAGTGGCCACCACACCAGAGAGATCTGAGACAGGTGTCTGCACTGGATGGCAGGTCGGACCAGCTGGCCCAGTTACCTTCCAACCTCACAATCCTGGATTCTGTGTTAGGAAGTTGAGGGCAGTGCTGGAACCTTCCAGGAAGCAAACAAGTGGACCAGCAGGAGTCTGTCCCCCAACCCCCCCAGCTCGAGTGAGACTGTGAACCCAAAACGGGTTCTATTGAAAGTAACCGCAGAGGGCAGTCGGATCACAAATCCCTAACCTGCAGGTCAGGGTGGGTGGTCACACCCCAGGCAGGTGACTTTCCTAGTAAAAGGTGTATCTGCGCCTGAAGCCAGCCCCGCCCACCGCGCACCCAGGCTAACACGCCTTCGAAATCAGCGTGCCCACCCTCAAGAGAGCCGCCCCCTCGTGACCTGTCCTGCAATCGGACCCTGCCTCGCTTTCCTACCTCCGGGTCCTCTTCCCCCCGACCCCCGAAGTCCAAACGCCCAAAAAGGGGCCGCAAACCTGCCATGCCCCGAAAAATCTGACACAGAAGCATTTGCTCTCGGGTTCGTCACGGGTTAGGGCTCAAGGTGAGATCTTACGCGGACTCTCCACAGCCGTGGACGGAGACAGCGAGCGCCCCGGGCGCAGGTCCGACTCCCGCCCTCGGACTCTCGCCCGGGCCCGGGGCGTGCGGTCGCTCAAGCCCACGGCCCCGCCCCCGGGCAGGCCCGCGGCGCCTTGGCCCGACCCCTGCGCCCCAGCTGCCCGAGCCGGCGCCGGGGAGGTGCTCATCCCACCCGCGGCTTCTGCGCGTGCTCGGTCGCCTGGCCACCCCTCGCCGCGCTCACCTGCATGATGGTCTTGCGGATCTTCCACAGACGGTAAGTTTCCTCCTCGTCGTCCATGCCGGCTGCCGCTCGTACTCACTGCGCCTGCGCGCGGAAGGACCCACTCCGATTGCGCCTGCGCCGAGCCCTGCCTAGGCCCCCTCCGCCGCCGCGTTTGGGGCTGTCCCCAGCGAACGCCTGAAGGCAGCCACTTTCGGGAGCGGCAGCACCAAGGGCAGCCCGGCCCTTCCGAGAATGGCGGTTGGCTGCGCGAGAGGCGTGCGAACGGCACCGCCCACACGCGCCTCGGAAGCTCTCGCGTTGCCTTGGCCGCAAGGGCTTTCGGAAGTTGTGGTTTTCGCTCAACGCCAACTCTCGCCTGGGATGGCCGTTTAGAATCTCAACGGGAAGAGGGGAGAAAAGTGAGGGCGCGGACACTGAGCCCCGCACGGGGTCAGGGGCGCGCAGCTGTTCCAGGAACGGTCGTGCAGCCTGGAAGACCTTCCATAAATATTTGCGCAACCCACTGAAGGGCGTCTTCTCACTTGGATGTGGGCCACGACCAAACTCTAGGTCCCTGGCCTCCATTTTTCCGTCTGTACAATGGGAATGACGAAGCGTTCCTATTTTAGAGGGTTAGCTGCGACTCTAAAGGAACGGCCGTGCCTGGGAGGAGGTCGGCATAGTTCCCGGTGCTTAGGACGTGCTCCCGCCTCAGTCCTCCCCAGTCCCTTCCCAGGAGGCTCACCCAGCAGCCCTGACTCCGTCACTTTGGAAGCCATGAGTAACTTCTCATTCAGTGATACAGCCATTCAATCAAATATTTAGTGAGCAGAAAATCGCATGATCTCACTTATATGTGGGATATAAACCTAAAAGCAACAAAGGAACAGGACAAACAGACTCCTGGACATGGGCTATAGTGGTTACCAGAGAGTAGGGAGTGGGAGAGGAGCGGGGAGGTAGATGGGGTAAAGGGGGTCAAATATAGGGGCGTGGAGGGTAGGGTGAAGTGGGTAAAGGGGATCGAATATATGGTAGCTGAAGGAAACTGGACTTCGGGTGGTAAACACACAATAGAATATACAGGTGTTAAATTATACACCTGAAAATTATATAATTGTATTAACCAATGTTACCCCAATAAACTTAATTTAAAAAACATACATATTTAGTGAGCAGACACAGGGACAGGTCAAGTACAGCTTGCATTCTGGGGAGAGACAGCGAACATAAGACACGACAACGTGATAAGGGGACAGACAACGCTGTGGGAAAGAGCTGGGGCCGCTTACCAGAGATGGGACTTTTGCAGGGTCAGAGGGAGAGGTTCCAGCAAAAGCCCTGAGGAGGAGAGGGAGGGCGGTGCGGGGGGCGGTCTGCGAGAAGGTGTATCAGGGGGAGGGCACAGCCCAGGCAAAGGCCCGGAGGCTGCACCTTGCCTGCCGTTGGCAGCCGGCCTGTAGGAAGAGGGCAGGAGTGGAGGTCGGAGGGTGAGAGTGAGGTGGGGCAGATCTGGGAGGCCTCGTGGGTTGGGTTGAAAAGTTTGGATCTTCTTTTCAGTCATTTTCAGGGAGACCGGGGGGGGGGACTGGGGAGGACGTCCTGCTGGGACACAGGCGTGGCTCCCATAGGGAGAGGGTCCGCAGCGGGCTGGTTCTGGGTGTTCGGAAGGTGAGTGGAGCCCACAGGATCTGCAGGGCAGGACGTGGAGATGAGAGGGAGAGAGAGTCTGCCCCACCTGAAACTGGCATAACATAAATGCTCTTACATAGGGTAAAGGGCTGTGGGAGGTTGCCAGGTGGCCTGGAACCCAGCAAAGGTGTCTGGCGGGGGAGGGTGGCCATCAAAGCCACCAAGCAGACCCGTGGACTGGGCAGGGGTTGAACCAGGACGACGGTTTTGTGACCACGAGGAGGGCAGATCCAAAGAAGAGGTGAACACGCAGCTGGGGTGGGTTTGCAGGTGGATCAGATGCAGAGGGGAATGGAGGGGACCAAGCTGGAGATGGGGAGGGTTGGGCAGGTTTCGACGGGAGAAAGGGCTCATGGGAGCAGGCAGGCGACTCACCCTTCTCAGACAGCACAGGGTGCCTCCTGGAGCCTGAGACTTCCCCAGGACCCCATGACCCACTTGTAAAATGGGGCCCTTCTGGCAAACGCTGTGAAACCCCAAAGGCAAACCCCTCCCAGAGCCTGGAGTGCCCCCCAGCAGGCTCGTTCTCCCCACGCCTGCTCTTGTCTCTCAGGAACCTGGCAGCAAGTCAGGAGTGGGGTGACCCTGCCCTGCTCCAGCTCCTGCTTGCTGGCGCCTCTGAAATGAATGAGACCAAAGAACAGCAGAGTGGGAACAGAACCGGAGTGGGCCAGACAGACTGGTCGGTGAGGCGGGGACACCCAGTGCTGCCGGAGGGAGCGAGGGTGGTTCCTGAGAAGTGCGGAGGCCCAGCTGAGACAATGGGGGCTCCCGGCCAGGAGGTGACTCTGAGAGCTTTGAGAACTGGCCTCTGGTGGCCGGGCTGGTGAGAAGAAGCCACGTGAAGATGGTTGGGCAAGAAAAGTGATGTAGCAAGCGGCCGCGGGGCCTGCCTCCACCGCCTCTACAGCCCAACGGCCATTGGAGCCCCGCGCCTTTCCCTGACAGAGGGCCCTGGGCAGGGCCAGAGGGACAGGGCTCCACACTAACCCAGATGACCCTTGCCCCAGAGTCCCGCCCCCGACCTCGAATGAAATGTTCACCCGAGGGTCTGTGAAGGGATAAGATGTTGACAGTACAAAAACCTGAAGCCAGCCTGCCACTGAGGGTCATGGCTGCGGGGTAGGGGGCAGACCTGCTGTGGAATTCCATGACTCAGGTCCCAAGAATGGGCTGGGTCATTTTTCTGCCCTCTCCTGGCCAAATGCCTGAGCCCGGCCCGAGAGAGAATCAGAAGTTGTGAGCCCTTATCTACGGCGGCGGTGCCACCCTGAACAAGCCCGATCCTGCCTGATCTCGGGAGCTAAGCATGGTCGGGCCTGGTTAGTACTTGGATGGGAGACCCGCCAGGGAAGACCAGGGTGCTACAGGCACAAAATATAAAAAAAAAATAAGGAATTGTAAGCTGACAAGGTCCTTGCAATCTGTGAGGTCAACCAAGGGTTGCCTCGCCTATAAAATAAAGATTTTAAAAAATTAAAAAAATAATAAAGAAGTTGTGAGCCCAGACATGTTGTGTACTCAGTGCGCCCCTCGGGTAATGTCAATGGTGGTGACATCGCTCTGGGCTTTTCTTTGTAAGCACATACCTGGGCGTCCCCGCGTGTTCTCCCTGGGGGGCGGGATCCCAAGGAGCCTGTTTTAATCATCCCCCCAGGGCTCACGTGTGACTTCTATAAGTGACTAAAGCGACGGTTCCCAAGGACCGTGAATCTCCTCCGGCCACAGCGCGCTATGGCGGAAGCTGCGGCAGCGGACGTCTCCGATTGGGGCGCCCGTCGCTAGGTGACCCCCAGACCCGCGCTGGGTGCCTGCAGATGGGGCCTAAGACACTCTTAGTGTCTCGGGTTAAATGCGCACCCCGTAGTGATACCGAATGGGTGGGACTCCGGCCCCCAGTTTGGTTTTATCTACATTAAAATCAAAACCCCGTTTTCGATGTTTCTGCGAGTTCAGGCTCCCTCCCCCCGGGTTTCCAGTAGTTTCTCAAGTTGTCGGGTACCCCGCGGCGCCACGATCTACCACCCGGATAACTGTCCCCTAGCCACCAACATGTCGCCTGCGCGGACGCGGTCACCCGCCCGCTGGCGAGCATGCGCAATTACAGACAAAAACAAACTCGCAGCCCGCCCCGCCCACCTCACCGCGGCCTCTCATTGGCTGACGCCGCCACGCGTCACAGCGCTTGAGTGGCCGGCCAATGAGGGCGTTGGTGGGCGTGGCCAAGGGCGGGGAGGTGAAGGGCGCCAGCGCGCGTCCATTGGTCCGCTCGACGAGGGGAGGAGCCGCTGCTTCCCCGGCGCCCCCGCCGCCGCCGAGATGAGCTTTAGCCGCCTCTGTCGCCTGCTGAAACCAGCGCTGCTGTGCGGTGCTCTGGCCGCTCCCGGCCTGGTCAGCACCATGGTGAGCGTGGCGCCGGCGGCCCGGCCAGCGGGCCGTTGGGTCGGGCGCGCGCGACTCTCCCGCGGCGCG